CTTTTATAACTTGAAAAAATGCCACTTCTATCAAATCCATAAAAAATCTAAATCTAAAATCAGAATGAATAAATATAGAAAAACTATCAAATCCCAAAGTTTAGTTTGATATAAACTTTTATGCTGCATCATTATGTCAGGTCTTTGGATAGAGGGCACACAGAGAAGTGACAGGCAGCTTAAGAGGGAGGCTGCACAGTGAATCCCTTCATGGTGGGAGTGAACACTGGGGGGCAAGATATTTATGTCATGCTTGTTGCAGAGCACAGAGGTTTTACCTAAAGCTTTTACTAAAGCATGACACTACGAACAAAGATCGTCAATGAAGCTTGTACCCACACTGCTGCAGATTTAAATAACAGAGGTGAAGCATCTGAGAACAGTTGAACTTGGTTTTGGAGAAAACAAAGGGCAGGCAGGACGAGGAAATCTTTTATTTTACCTGTTGTGTGTTGTTGGCTGTGTAGGGCAACATAGTGGACACATGGAACATAATCTCGTAGTCCTGGTAGCGTGTGTAGAGGGAGTGTGTTCCAGTTGAGTCCGCTGCACAAGACACACCGACACAAAGAGACAGAAAAGTAAAAATGAAGGAAAATCAGTCAACATCTCCGGATGGAAACAAAGTGTCGCCGTCAGGGTGAAATCTGCCTCGTCTGCTGTTCTCTGCAGCACAGTGAGGGGAAAACAGCCTCGGAGATAATCAGTAGTCACTGTGCTTATTTGCAGGCATTACTCAGATTACATGTGGCCAGATAGGAGTTATCTTAGGCTTTCAGTAGCGCACTGATGCCCTTCGGATAATGGCCCTGCGACAAGGTGAGATGCAGCCAATAGATCGGGGGCGTGGTGCGTGTTTTCAGCTCACTCTTGTTGTCCAGCTGCGCTCGGTATTTCTCCCAGCCCTTCAGCCGCACCCGCTCCCCGAGCAGATCCAGGAACTCCTCAAATGCCGGCCCGGAGCTCTCGTTGTTGTACATGTCTTCCTCTGAGCTCTGGCCAGCCCGACAGTACATCACCCCGACCTTTCTCTGGAAATTCAGCTGCAACCAGACACAGGCAAGAGTCAAATATGCATGTTTATACCATCTTATCCATCTTTTCATTCAAACTACCAAGACTTTACATATATATATGCTCATCATGCGATAGCTTATGTTGCAGCTCAAAAGGCTCATTTATGTGGTAAAATGATGAACTCCTACGCAGCACACATTCGATTACTGACTCTATCAATGCCCTTGAGCTTTTACATCAGGGTTCAGGCAGCTCAATGCTTCAAATAGAGAAACACTTTGTTTTGTCTATCTTGTTCATTGCTTTTCTGAAGTAGTTCATCTCAAAGCTGCTGCAGGATCCCGTCTGTTATGGGTTAGTTTAAGTGCTCAGCAGGCTTAGCAATAAAATCATAAAAGTAAAGCTTCTTTTCATGTGAAAATAATAATGATCAACGGATCTATGAGAAATTTAATTTTCAGTTTCTGAAACTTGAAGACTTGCTTTCTTTTCTTTTTCATTTATTTAGTTCAATTTAATATTATGAATTCTTTTACTGTTTTTCTCAGACAAAAAAGGGAAAACGAAGGCAGCAATTTGTGTTTTCTCTTCGAAACAACTGTATATTAAAAGAGATGGACAAACTCATCAGTACCCAATGAGATTAATTCAAATTATAATTCAATTTAATTTTGCTGTATAAAAAAAAACTCTAAAAAGTGAATTATGCTCAACAAAACAGAAGAACAACAAAATATGTTTTTTTAAATTCTTGTAGTATTATAACTTTTTTTCTTGTTAGATTATGACATTATTCTTGCAATAGTATATCATATTATAATAGTACCTTCGTTCTTGTAATATACTACTTTTTACTCTTAATATTATGACATTATAAAACATCATAGAAAACAACAGAACAAAGCACCTAGAGACCACAAGTTGTAGAGGCTGAATCTATGGATTATTGCACATAAGCTGTTTTTTTTACACTACATGACCTATTTGACATCAGTAGGTAACATCAGACAAAATCATTAGGTGTAGTCCTACATGATGAGTGAACAGGAGGAAACTTTAGAGCACAGAACGTAAGAATAAACAGATCTAATAATGTCACTTTGTCACTGAAACACTCTGATCGATCACAGAGGACAGTGGATAAGAGATGTGGACTTCTTTTTTAAAAACTGTACTTGCTTTTAGTTACAACATGTTGGGACTCTTAGTCACATTCTTAGGTGTGACATTCAAATAAATATTGTTGCAATTAGACACTATAAGATGAGATAAGATAAGATGTACATGCAGAAGTCTTCAGTGTCCAGCACGTGTCCCTACTCACCCCCTGTTCGTCCAGCTTCAGCAGCGTGTCCCTGACCTTGGGCGAGTTTGAGGCCAAGCGGAGGCAGTGCAGGTTCAGCTCAGGCATGATGAACTCCAGCAGCCTCTTGGGAGACAGGCCCCTGGGGGTCGTGTGACGAGCAGCAGAGGGCACAGACTCCTCCAGGATGGAACCTCGCAGCGTCTTCATCTGAGGGATTCACATTCATCACATTCAGTTAAAATCGATTTTACACACAATGAACCTGAAGGGAGCTCCGAGGTGAGAAAAGCACAGCCGTACCTCTGTGGTGCGAAAGATGATCCTGTAATTGTACTGAGCTCCACTGGATCCCTCCTTCTCCTCTCGACGGAAGCTGATGGCCACCGGACCAAGGCGGTCGTCCATGCCGAAGAAATTCTGGTGTTCTGTGATGAAAGTGGAGGCACAAATACAACTGTGAAGTTTGAAATGGAAGAGCTGCAACTGGGATAGTGTTGGGGTTAAAATGGGACTGTGTGAAATTTATTGGAGTTTTGAAAAAAAAGAAAATATTAACCTCCAAAGAGTTTGACCAAATTTTAAAACTGAGAACTAGCTTATGAGAAAAATTAAAATCACCTAAAATATAAATCCAGGCTGCTCAGAAATGTCAGACTTGGCAGATAAAGTTTAAAAAATAGTTAAAATGATTTTATCCATTATTGAATAGGGTCACATTGTACTTTTTGAAGATGGAATATTATTCTCTCTATTACTCAGAGAAACAGAATCAGCGACACGTACCTTTCATGTAGAAATATTTGCGATAGTAATGGGCTCCCAGATCTGCATGTCCGATAAAGTAGTTGCTCTTGCCCTGCTGCTGGACGTGACTCTCTCTGGGCTCCTCCAGGACAGACACTGCATCATTGGGGGTCCGCAGGCTTAACCACAGTCCCCGCCGGCCCTGGGATTGACCCAGACCCACCTGCTCTTCTCCCCCCGTCTCGTTGCGAAAGTGGGGGCAGCTGAGCAGCAACTCGTTGTCATTGCCATCCCCTTCATCCAGCAGCAGCGACTGCTCGGGGTCTTCCGCATTCCCCCCGTTACCTCCCCCGCCCTGTGCAGGTGAGGAGGGGGCGGCCTGGGAGAGGGGCCGCAGCTGGGAGGCGGCCGAAGCCCCTGAGGTGATGTTCTTTTTCCGCCCAATGCTGTCTCTGTTGGTGGCCGCCTCAGTGAGGTCGAACAAGATGCTCTGAACATCATAGTGGGCAAAGTTCCTCACCCAGGCCCCACCCCCGAGGTTGTCATAAGGGCCGGGCTGAGGGATCTGCAGGGGCCCTGGTTTGGACTTCTTACCAAGACCCTCAGGCTTTGGTGGCTTTGCAGGTTTTGGGGAGTCCCCTATGGAAACAGACAGACCCCGAAAGAAGCCATCAGGCTCTGGAGGGTTGCCCTGCAGGCCTAAAAGCAGGAAAGGGTCTTTGAATCGAAGGGCACTTGGACTCAGGGGCCCCTGGTCATCTGTGCTCAACTCCTGGACTTGAGTCTGTCTCTCCAGTGAGGACAGGCTGCCGTATTCCCTATGTAGCAGTAGCCCTGAGTCGCCCTGAGCCCCCACAACCACCTTCTCACCAACCACCCTTGTTGCTTTCCCCCCTGCTTTACCAGAGGAGTCCAGGTCCCCAAGGGTTACATCGCTGTTACTTCTCTGCATGATGTGGCCCCGGCCCACTGCCCTCAGATTCAGGCCCGCGCGGCTCGGAGTGAGGCTGTCACCGTCTACTCCGTCACCATCCCTCCTGGGCGGCCACTCCACTACACCTGCTTCCCGTTTGGGGTCAAAGCTGACGGAGGCAATCGGCGGCCGCACATTCTGACGGCGAAACTTGCGGATGAAGAGATCATCTGACTGCATGGTGCCAGGGAAACCAAACCTTCCCTCCACTGTGTTCCAGAGCCTTCTGCCCTCCCAGTTACGTTTCTGTCCTGGTCTCTATGGTGCTGGTGTGAATGAAGATGAAAACCCCTCTGAGCGAAAGCAACGAACACGGTCCTCATTCACACCACTTCAGATGGCTGAACCGTCTCTACACCTGGGCTCTCATAGACGTCTCCGTGAGCTGCCACACTTTGTAGTCGCAATGAGCGTAAACGTAAACGACTGAAGGCAATTCTCGGCTGTTTTTCGTTGCAAGGTTCCGTCCAGTTGTGCAGATGTGTGTTTTGCTGTGAATCCGGATGCGGGATGCTCCTTCCTGTGGCGTGAGGATGTAGAGATCATCACTGAAGCCAAACTCTCTGTCCTCTGTGCAGAAAAGGCTCTGTCAGTATAAGCCCCTCTAACATTGCATCCATTCGCCTGCACTCTTCGTCGCCTGCAGCTTCCCTTTTGGTCTTGTCCCCTGCCCACCTGTATAGAAAAAAAATAAAAGAGGAACGTCTTATTCTCACTCTCTCAAACTGCTGTTATCTTAATCAACATATTTATATTCAGCCCAATAGCAGCTTGTCAGTGAGTACACAGAAAACACTGGCTTTGAAAACAAGTGTTGAATTCCAACAGTAAAGCAGCAAGCCGGTCCGCCATGTGTTTTATTGTTAAGTAATGCCTTGCACCTCTGTTTTATTTCATTATTATTCTTTCCGTTACACACTTTCCGCTCCAAAGTTTCCCTAAATAGTTCCAGACTTAGAGCTCACCACATCCACCCTGCACATGCTCACAATGGACAGTGTTAACACAGGGGAGGGGGCCTTCCTGGCTTACTGACAGTGTGCCAACATACAAGAGAAATAAGCATCAATTATCTCTTACCATCACTCACATAAACACAGTCTAATTGTTTAATGATGCTATGGTGTAATAACAACAGAGACATTATCAATAACTATCAGTATAAGGTTGTAGAGCAGCTGTTAAGACTGTCATTCATTTTTCACTGAGTCAATGAAAAGAGCCAAGTCGTGCGCTTCCTTTTTTTTTTAAGTCCTAATACAAGTTTTCATTCTAACTTACCAGAAAAGTGGATTGTGTGCCATGTACAGATCAACCAGTTCCTGTCATCATTTGTCCCTGATGCCCCGTCCCTGACTAAACTGACGCCAGCCTGCTCGAGCTGGAACCTTTTGTTGCTTCAAAAAGCTACGAGAGGCTTCTTCCTGTCTGTAGCTTCTTTTTTTTTTCACATGCATCTGCTCGCTCGCGTTTGCAGCCTCGAAGAGCAGGTGCAGTCGTGTAGAGCTGCTACCAGGAAAGCCTTTCTCACACACACACTAACACACACACACACACACACACACACACACACACACACATACGTACATTTGAGGAAAGTGAGGAAGTCAAAAGAAATGTTTGTTTTCCTTCCTCGTCTGCTCTCACACTGTCTCTGTTTCATCACAGTGAGAGAACACAGCAATTTTCAGTGAAAAGCTTTTTTTAAACTCATTTTCTAAGTTGTCCACAATCAGTGGATATTTATCAGCAGTTTTGATGATGTGTGGAGATAATGTGTGCCATGGTTTAAACATGCACTTCTATCATAGAAGATATTCGCTGAGGCTGACACTTGAGGCTGACACTTGAGGCTGCTCTCTGTTACCAGGAAGTGTCACTGAATGAAGATTTAGTCAGTTTATCTTAAAGGTTCTTGGTAATGAACCTTTTTATCTGCTCTTTAAGAAGAGAACATGTTATTCTTTCACATTGTCTGAGGCACACATGATCACTTTCAGCATCTTCTTCTGTCTATTTTCTACTGTAGAGCTCTAAAACATTTATGAAATATGTAGGTAAACTATCATAATTGGTGTGAAGCCACACAGTTCATCCTTGAGCTCACAACTGAGCTGAGATTCAATATTTTAGGAAAATTAAACTAAAAGAAACACAAAATCTTTACACAAAACATTTAATCCCTGTGATATTGAGGCCATAAAACCTTTACTGCAATTCATGGAATATAAATTTTGAAGAGAAAGTGTAACCCCTCCATCTATCAATACTGCTTATCCTTGAAGGTTCACGAGGGGCTGGAGCCAATCCCTGCTGACATTGAACGAGAAGCAGGATTCACCTTGGACAGGTCTGACCCCAGTTAATCAAACCCTCATGTGCACGGTTTGAAAGAAAAATGAAAGAAAAACCCACAAAGGCAGATGGAGAACATGTAAACTCTGCACAGAAAGACTCTGGCTGACAGTGTGGTCAAGTATGACTAAAGAATATGTGGAACATTGGACAAAACATTGAATGAATGAATTGCATTTGTGCCTGAGTTACTGTGAATTTTGATTATGTCACATGTGCTTCAAATGACACAGGGATGCTGCAGAAGTTCAAGTGATGTGTGTCGATGCTTATCTGCAATCGTGAGGCGCAGCGCCATCTGCATGTTTCACAAAGCCTTCAAACAAGTGTGAGCAATCAATTTTCTCTGCTGTCTCAGAGTGGGGGTGTAGATTACTGTTTTTTTTTTTTTTTTTTTTAATTAAAAATCGCAGATTGCCTTCATGTTGTTCCAACAGCAAACGGAACTTCCAGGGTCGGAGAGAAGCACTCCTGCTGTCCACCAACACAGCGAGGGTTGAGCTTGGACACTTATCAATCACTGCCTTTGTATGAATCACATGTTCCTGAGCTTCTTAAGACCCCGACCCGTGAATCAGTCGTTGTTTCCATAGTAACCGCTCTGGTGCCACCCTCTCTGGAGGAGGTATCCATTCCACCAGTGTTTTATACCAACCCTGATTTCCTCACTCAGGAGGAGAAATGGTTTTGTTTTTGTGAAATGAGCCCACGACCGATGATATCTGTGTCAGTGACCTTGGTGTTTACTCCTCAGCTAAAATACAACAAGAACAAACAAGACAGAGACATGATGCTGTCGTGAACGAACTGCTTGCTTTTACAAAACAAGATAGTGATAATTGACGGAATAAATTTAGGTTCATTCATATTTCATCTTTAATACCAGATGTTGCATCAAAGGGCCTGGTCACACACACGTAAATGTATCAATAGAAAACCAGAGTACAATTCACATCCACATGATGTGTCTGGTCTTTCTGCCTCTACCTAGTCCTGTGTTATGAAGCTATTTATCATCTGTATTCACCCCTGTGTGAGGCTAATAAACACATTTTGAATCAAAGACAGGAACAGAAAGTGATGGTGTCTAGTTTCAGTCATACAGGTGCCAAACGTGTGAAAAGTAAAACAGTCATTTTCTTACCATTTCTGATGTGCAACATATTCAATCAAATCTTCACCAGGTTGTTAGCAAACTACAGTTAAATATATATTAAATAAAAACATATTAGACTAATTCCAGTGAGCGTCTTTGAACAGAAGCTGACCTCTGTGTGTGTTATAGAGAAGTGTCTGACATACCAACAGAGACATACATATAGACACGTACAAAGCAAAGAGGAACTGTGCTTTGTCCCTGCCCCCTCAGGTTTCTGCTCAATCTATCCGGGAACCCATTGTTTTCAATTTCACTGGGTTACGTTAAATGTCACTGCGCTGTTCATCCTTCCAACACGAGACCAGTGAAGCTTCTTCATTTAAGCAACTAAGTCTTGTTCCAAATATCTTTCTTTCACAGGAAAAACATAAAGGTTATTGATACCAAACAAGGTTACAAGCTTTTATCAATTTTACTTGAACTAAACTTTAATATGGTCTTAAAGGTCCAGTGTGTAAGATTTAGATGAAAGGGATATACTGGCAGAAATTTACTATATATTAATCCTAGCAATGTTCTCACTAGTGTGTTTTATCTAAATTGTACAAATTGTTGTTTCCTTACCCTAGAATTGCCCCTTTATATTTAAAAACTTTATATTTACATCAGGAGGGGTGTGCTCTCTATGGAGGCCACCAAGTTTTTTTTTACAGTCGTCCAGACTGGACAAACTAAACCTTTTGAGTTTTCATGCAGCTTCCCCACATTCCACAGTGCTGCTCACGCATTTCTCCATATCGGTCGGGTCATGAGATGATGGAAACCGTGTGTGACCTGTGACGTTCTCTGAGCCACAACTCCACCACCACATCGACAGACACACGGCCTCTCCTTCAGCTGGTTAGCAGGAACATCTTAAACATTTTCTATTAAATGGCCTCAGGGAGGATTTACTGACTTTTTTTGGCATGCCTCACATTGCCATGCAGCAGTAGGATGGTGCAGTGGTTAGCATTGTTTCACAGCGAAAGTAGACTCTGGGTTTTAACCTGTCAGCTGGTGTCTGCATGTTCTCTCTGTGAATATGTGGGTTTTCGCCAGTTCTTCTACCACAGCCCAAAGACATGCAGGTTAGGTTAAATGGAGGTGTGTATGGTTTGTCTCTGTATGTCTCCTCTGTGATGGATTGGCGACCAGTACAGGGTTTACCCCGCTTCTCTCCAAATGTCACTGCAGGACCCTCAACGGATAAACAGTATAGATAATGGATGGATATGGGTTGAATTATCACTGATATTTCCATGTGTCATCTTTACTATTAAAGAAAAATGTCATTCTCCTGTCCTTTATCTGCTCTGACTGTTCACAACATGAACCCAGTCATGCATAGTAACTCTGACATATATTCATATGGTCAGACCCAATTTATAATAACAATAATAATATTTGGCAGATTTTGTTATTCATGTGTCAATGAAAAATAGGAAAAATAAAATAAAAGTTCCTTTGTTTTCCCCGACAGACAGACAGACAGACACACAGACAGAGACACACACACACACACACACACACACACACACACACCGCTGATGCTCTCCAGGATTTCTTATTTTAAGATTTAGAGAATCCACTAAAACCATTGGGAGCTCCGCTGCCCTCAGATTCCCTCACGGTACCAGAGCCAGTCTCCGTGCCAGAGAAACTCAATAATGCATGCAGACAGCAGTGTTTATTCCTGCGTCTCAGCCAGTGCACGGACTGTAATGATCGCAGTATCATGCTCACATGGTCTGGATAAACTAGACTTTATGTTACAAACATAAATCTATATTTTATAAAATCTAGTTCTGTGTGTGCTCAGCTGCAATTTCGTGTTCTTGATGTTGTCTCATCAGAGTTAAAGATCTGCTTTTAAAATCTGGAGCAGAAAAGGAAGGAAATGTGAAATGACCCCGTAGCAGCATCACTTTATCTCTTGCTCAGACAATATCTTTTGTCCTTTTTGCACCAGATTTACTTTGACGGGTCACAGCTGTTATGCGTTTTGTTTAACTGACAATAAATGACGACCACTTCCACGTTGAGCCCAGGACAAGGTTGATGGGCCTCTAGCGTACACCGCCAGGACATAAACTGAAGACAGAGGAGAGTCCTATTAAGCTCGCACCGTTTTGGGGAAGTCATGGCCAGTCGACTTATTTTGCGCCCGCTCGTGCAAGCC